ACACACACACACACACACACACAGGTACCCAGCCGACAAATATACATTTTTTCGCTTCGTCCCTACTCAAAACGCATAATAAAAGAATACGATAAACGACCATTTATTTATCCCTCCTTTCTCTTCTGCCTGATCCAGCTGCATTTGGTGTGCCTGGGATCATTCCTGTAAAATCATCCATATCCACATCAATTGTCCAGGAAGCCTTCTTGTTCTTGATATGACATACTCCCGCGTTCATTTACTTGTGTAGAATAGCAGCAAGATTTACAAGAAAGTATTCACTTAAACAGAAGTTTGACAGAAATTCAAACGAATTTTCCAGAATGCGTCGATGTATATCCTGCATATTGCCCACCACACTCGTTCCTAAATTGTTCTGATCCAGTTGTTCGAATGCGTCTTTGTCCCAAAACGTGTGGTTTTTGTGGAACTACAATTACACCACACGACAGGACGAAAACGACGACAGAAGCAACGACAGGCGGTAAGGAATAAGTCCAAAACACAGTTCTAAAAAACAAATCTAAAAGACAATTCTAAAAATATCTATTATGTTCACTCTGTGAGGCTAGGTTTCTGAGCTTTCGTAAATCGGCAAAAATCACGTTTGTAACAATACATCGAGAGAGCTGGCATGAATTTTGATTTTGGGATTTGTTGCAAAATGCATGGGAAATGATAATTTGAGGTGTAAAGCGAAGAGTTATGAAATTGCATAAATTATTTCATTTAAAACATGGAGGATGAAGCACACAGGGGAAATCACAAAATTTGATTCGCGTAATCCAGAAGGTTGTAGACATTGAAAATGCTGGGTCCCAAAAGGTCACAGCTGACGGAAGACGTTGTTAAACCATTTCCAGTTAGATCCGTGAAGAAAAATATTGAGTTTTTTAAGGTCTTCTCTAATTCCGACTGCCTTTTCCTCGCATTTTGGAAAGAATTTCAATCGCTACCTGATTTTTGAATAAACTGAACAAAAGTTCAAGGAGCTGCTGGAATGCCTTTGCGAGTTGTTTGTCAACCTATTTGTTGAAGTTTGCTTGGTAGCAAAAACCTGCATTAACTAGTGGTGAAATCTGTGTTCCAGCTTTATCCTAACTGAGATTTCAGTAAGCGCAACAAAACCAACTACAACAACACCGTCCACTTTTCCTGGCGTGTCAACAGCTACAATAATAACAACAGCAGCAGCATCGTCAACTATTCCAGTTACAACGATACCAACAACAGCAGCACCGTCAACTACTCCTGGCGCATCAACAGCTACAATAATACCAACAACAGCAGCAACGTCAACTATTCCAGCTACAATAATGACAACAACAGCAGCAACGTCAACTACTCAAGCTACAACAATAACAGCAACAGCAGCACCGTCAACCATTCCTGGCGTGTCAACACCAGTTACAACAACACTTTTGCCAACCACGTCGGATATGTCCACCACCACCACAATAACATTTCCGGCTTGGATTAGGGGTAAGACTGCACCGTTTACATTCCACAGAAAAAGAAAACAGCGAGTTCGGACCCGACTAAATAGTTCCGATCTTCCCACCAAACAACTTTCTGACGTTGACAAAAATGAAAATTTGGTTGGTTTAGGACCGAGGGATGATGAATGAGGGGCAACACCGAGATATTGGCTGGAAATGAACTGGGGCCTTGCTTGCAGGCAATAGGGTAGAAAATATAGGGCAGAGAAAGAAGAAGGTGCATGTGTTTATGACGCTAAAAGGAAGTGGATGCAGGAAGAAAACTAGTAAGTTTGTACTCGCAAATTTCAAGACCTCAGCAAAAGAAAAAAGTCCGGCACTTGTGCGCAAGTATGCTTTTCGCTGTTTGGAAGCAGCAAATGAATGAAAATCGCATGGTCTACTCCAACCGAGTTTCATAAAATGCCTATAAATTTCTTTTCAACGCCACAGTTAGATCACGTCAGTTTGTGGTGTTGTTAGTGAAAGACAGTGGAACATGAATGGGAAGAAAAAAGGCAATTAAATGTAAGTATTGAGATGGGACATTCGCCAACGCATAGTTGGAAGGTCAACAGTGAGCTATACCTATTCAAAGCAGTCATCGTTGAAAGTTAGTACTGACGATTCCCACTCCTACTCGCATCAAATGCTCGGTCTGCGTTTGCGATTAAGAGATGAAATACAGACTGCAAACTTACTTGTCTGTTAGGATATGTAATTTTCTAACGATTTTACAAAATAAATTCGTAGCCGACAAGACTGTTTTACAGGATGCCCGCCAGGATGGGTATGGTATCCAATTGATAACTTGTGCTACTATCCGGTGAGCTAATTTTTATCAACAGCCCTCCACCACGCACTATTTAACATCAGGCATTCTGATCCATGAAAAGCAGGCAGAATTATCTTTCACATCTGCTCCTTTTGCAGCGAAGTATCATCATCAGGTCCTCTCACGTCTCTCAAAATTCCTCTTTCAAAATCCGCTTCAAAACAAAACCCATACGAATGCGCTGTAGTGTTTATTGCATCCAGATTCTGCAGCAATGCCTCTAACAATTTTTCTGTATGAACAAGTCTACATCGTCTGGAGAATAACTTTCTAAGCGTCTCTACCATGTAGGGCATATTTTTTTTCATCGTTTTCTATATGTGTTGTTTCCTACAACACCCGTACTAAAAAATCTCAACTGTGGTTCAGATTTATGGGTACTTGTCGTACACGAAGGCTTGTCAAAAATGCTTTGCTTTGAATGCAATTGTTGCTGCACCCAAGGATGGTCTGCAAGATGTGTTTATACGGAGTAAGTTTATGTCAAATAGCTGATGAGCGGAACGAAATCTACGTGATATCAGAGAGGCAATAAAAATATCCAAGCGGGAACCAGGAGAGTGACAAAATCATGCTTACTTTTACAGTGTGTTAGTTGTTCTTGGTGTCTGTTGGTTTTCGAGTTTAAGCCGACACGGTCATGAAGATTTACTACTCTGCCCGGTTCGTCGAAAACACTGAAGAGCTGCTTCATCTGAGATTTAAAATAATTGTCCTGTTAGCACTGGGATTTATCTTAAGCCAGCCCATAGCTAAACCCGAAAGTATGTTTCAGATCATTCAATTTACAGTAAATGACGAATTAGAACCAAATGCCTAATTGATGGGAAGTACCAAAGAGCTTGCTCACCAATGACTGCACCTTTCAGAAGCTGCCTAAAGCGAAACTGACAACCGCATAAAGCTATCAAAATATCTAGCTAAAATTTAAAAAAAGCCAAAAACACTGCAGCCCATAGCATTTTCTTTAATTTCCAAAAATACAGCACAACAGAAGTCATTTTGTTTTTTTGAAGGAGTCTATACCGAAGGAGTTTATGGTGAAATATATAAACCATATTGGATTGGTGTACGTAAGATTGGTTACAAATGGGAAAGACTAACAGAGGATCGTCCTTTCCCATACACGCCAGTCACTTTTACAAATTGGGGACCATCACAACCAGATGGCTGTTGTTCGGTCGATGTTACCTGTGTCGTGGTGAATCACTGGAACAACTTGGGTGAATGGGATGATCAGGGCTGCGACAGCTATGTGGGATACGCTGGCGCTGTTTGCCAGAGAAAACCAATGTGATCCATTTATAACTGTCTTTTTCAAGATATTTAATGATTATTGATTTAGGAAGACAGTAACTTCGGAGCAAATTTCTTCAAAAACTTAGTAAGTTGAAAATTCAAACATTCATGTACTGAATAAATACTGAGCATCTCGAGTGTTTTGCAGATTTATCATTTGTGTTGCCTTTGTCTCGTTAATACGGCCATTTTTATGTGTTTTTGCATAATCATGCAAATGGAGTCCTGTCTGTAACGCACCAGTCCTGCCAGTACGATCATGCGTTCTCGAGCGAAACTTGTAGGCCGCTAACAGCAGGAATGATTTTGCGCCGTAACACTTAAACTTATATTGGTTTTGTTCTGGCCTCCTCGCATGCAGGAGGAAGGATTATCGGCTGGGAAGAAGATACTACATGATGGGGCCGCATGGATCTCCAGCGTGCATGATTATCAGTTCTTCACATGAAGCCCAATCGTTTTTGCGGTGAATACTTGTTTATTGAAAAAAAATGCAAATTTGAAGGAAAGTCGGAAAAGGATTATGAAATGTGCAAAATGTACTCGCTTTTAAGTTTGCGATGCAATTTAATATTTACCATGTCTAAACTGCAAAGCGAATTACACTTCGAAAAATGAATTAAGGCCATACATGAATATAAAATATCTGTGCAAAGTTTCAGCTTTGTAGCCTGCCTGTTAAGCGAAATAGCCACTTAGCTACAAATATCTTTGAGGCGCCCTAAGCGGTGGTGCAAGTGAAAATCGAAACTTAATTTAAATGTACGATTTTCCATATGAATAACAAATATTCTGGCAAAATTTCAGCTACTATTTCCCGGCTAATTTTCGAATTAGCGTATGTGATAGGTGAATTTGAAATGTTTAGCCCATACATGCACGGAGATTATTCCTGTAAAGTCTTAGCCTTCCACCTTGTTTGGTTTACGAAATTGTTTCTCGACAATGAAATCTGCAAATTTCTTTCGGGGTCCACACACGAGATCTAGGAATACCGAGAGAAGGGATAGCTTATTAGTGAGGCAATTGAAGAAGCATGCTACGCGAGCAGCAGCAGATACAATTCAGTATTATACCTAAAGTGTGTGAAAATCAATATTTTGAGTGCTGCAATATCCGAGGCGTCGAAAACTAATTCTTTTGCAGTTGCTATGGTACGAAGTTTGATGTTTAGATGTGTCAAAATACAAAAGCGTGTTTTGAAAGAAGTGTGCAAATAAGGATTTTCCCCACTTCGAAATAAAAACTTCCCTTTCTCATCTTTTAATCGGTTTATTTTCTGGTTTTTTGGATGATTTCGTAATATTTCCCATTCGTCCTGCACTTGCACCTCCGTCCTCAATACAAACAATCCCATCCATCCTGACACCTCTGCAGACAGTGCTTGCCCACTCTCGGGGTGCACCGGGCATTAGTCACCCTTGGCTGTCATCTTTTACTCTCTTTTTGTTCATTTTTTTGATGTATAACTTCAAAAAGCCCTGGACGAGAGAGGTTCTATAGACTGGTTTGCGGAGCGAAAAGATGTGGGGAGGAAAGGGGGATAAGGGGGAGTTGCATCTTTTATCATATTCTTCTTGGTTCCGACTCTTCTTCAGTTGAGTTACTGAGCGCTAGGATATTCACATCTCAATGCCCCGGAATGTTTTATTTGAAAAAGTGGTCGAAAATACCCGCGAAAAAGTGGTAAAAATGCAAACAAATACTCAGAACGTCCCTGTAAAATTTCAGCTCAGTATCTGCTCTATTTCCCAAAATAGTTTTCGTGTCAAAAGTTTGTATGAATTCTTTTAGGCAGCCTTATGCGAGATCAATTTGCGTGTGTTTGGACGTTCATTATGCGTTTTTTGCAGCTATGCAATGCAAAAACGCATATTGACGAGAGGTTGTCTGTGTGTGTG